ATATTTGTTGTCAGTGACAAGGAGAGGAGATTCCCGTAGTGGACCATCTCTTCTCAGACCACAATGAAAATTTGTCAGAACTTAGATCTAAAGATAATGTAGGAAATATTGAAAGATAGGGGAATGCAAAATACCTTTTTCTTCTTTTCTTTTAAACCTTAAGTAACATTAAAAATATACTTGCTTTCTGTTGAAACATCTTTTTCTAGAAAGTAGAAGATATATTTAGGGCAGGTAAAGTACTCTGCTAGGAATAGAAGAAGACAATCAGAAATACTATACAATGGAGGAAAAATAATTTTAAAAGGTAAATCTAGAGCATACATTTTTGTATCTATGGTGAATGTCCACAAGGATCTGCCTTTCTTTCATAGGAATACACCCATTTAGGATAGAAATCAGATATTAAATATGAGGCACAATCAAGAGATGTGGTCAGGGCCAACTCAGTAGAGTCTGAACTCCGACATTCCTTCAAGAATGACATTTAGATTTCAGTTACATACTAAAATTACAACTCTAGCCTGAAGATGATGACAGGGCATCAAAGTAATGACACAAGAGAAAGGCATTAAAAAAACATATTTGGAGACTTAGATGGACATTGATCTCATTTTTCTTCCATTTATCCCATGGATAAAAAGTAACCTAATGTTAAAAAAAAAAACTAAAAACCAAACTCATTGCCGTCGAGTTGGATCAGACTCATAGCAATGCCTCCTTGGGTTTCTGAGGCAGTATCACTGTGGAAATAGATTGCCCAACCTTCCTGTTAGTTATGTTTAATTTATGAGTGGGAGCATTATATTTAAATGCTGTTTGTCAAATGAAGAAGAACTAAAGGAGTAGGGAAAATATAATACAATCTCAAGAGAGAAGTGCACATAGGAAAGGGGATTGGTGTGGGCTGCCAGGACATTTATTTCAAAGAAACATGTTTACTAATATTAAATTTCTAGGGTATATTTAATGCTTTACACTTGTTTTGAAGTCATAAAAAATGTTGCCATCTTTTAAACATTACTTATGAGGAGACAGTGGAGCATGTTGATTACATATAGACTGAGTAGGAATTTGTTCAAATGCATTCATTTTGGGGGAAATAAAAAGCTTAACCCTCTCTACATATATACCTATACACAAACTCATGTCTCTAGTATATAGTTGCATACTGTAGTGTGTCATTCTATTTTAATTGACAATCTGTGATTATTTTTGGGGAAAAAAAGGGAAAAATAAAAGTGGTTGGTGCAACTTACTCCTCGGAAGGAAGGTTGGGCTATCTAAGTTGAGCAATTTACTTCCATACTGATACCGCCTTGGAAACCCAAGGAGGGGTCACTATGAGTCAGACCCGACTGGATAGCAGTGTGTGTATGTGTATGCTTGTAAAACATCAAATTCAAAAGCCTACAAAATAAAGAGATCAATTCACAAGTTATTTAGAGGTTTGCATGTCCCTTGCAAAGAAGGAGACATTTTTTAGGACTGAGAGTTTGAAAAGGAAGACAGTTTGCAACATCTCTACTGCTTGAAGTCTTTTAAGACATTGAAGAAAAGGATTGAAGTGTGAAAATGAAAAAATGCATTTCAGGCCCTTTGAGACTGAGAAGGCTTAACAGGAGAATTGTGAGGAAGGGTTAGGAATTTTCCTAGAATAAGCCCCCTCCCATCTTTTTTTTTTTTCTTTAAATATTGAAGGAAGCTAAATGGACTGTATAAAAATAAACTAAAACAACAACAAAAAAAAAGTATTCAATTTACAATTTAATGCTTAAAATCTGATACAATGTCAGAACTAAGAAGGACCTTAGAGATCTATGAGGGCAGTGATTCTTGGATTATGACTGCTTGTCAAGACACATATTCCAAAACCCTATCCACAGATGTATTCATCCATACACATTTGGTGAAGTCTACTATGTTCTAGGTTCTGATGACACACTGGTGACGAAGCCAAAATCATTGCCCTCTTTTACTAAGTGATGATACAAATGGTTCACGAGTCACACTTTGTGGAACACTGATTCTTTTTCAACAACTTTCTTATTGGAATTGTCCTTATTTGGATATTAATTTTTTGTATAGTGTTCTGTATGTTTGTATTCAAATAGAACATGTTGAGTAAAATAGAATGAAACGATTTAGTTCCCAGAAAGGGCAGAGCAGAAAAGATCAAGGGGCTCCCTCTTTAGTTACAATAACTGAGCTATGTATAGCTTTGTCACTTTGGGCAATTTACTGACTTAGACTCAATGTCATCATTTGTGAAAAAAGGAATGAAAAAGAGTGCCTCCAATTTCCGGTTGATGTAACGATAAAATGAGATGTTAAAGTAGTATCTCTAGTGACTGGAGAACTAGAGTGTGGTAAAAAATCAAGTAAGTATGAACGTTTATTGTGTATCAATGAATTATTGTGACTATACAGCTAACAAAATCTCAAAAGGTGGATCTATCTGAGTAAAGCAGAGTCATGGAACTTCGGAGTTTTAAGACATTTTAGAGATAATTTATGCGTTAAAGTGGGTTTTAAACTGTACCCTTAGGAGCTCAGATTAAAACTGGAGTAACTCATTCATTGCTTTGATTGTTTTTATCTAGTAGGATTCCATGTGCAATTTCATATTTAAAAAAAGCCTGCTTTTAAGAAAAGCTTGACATCCTAGCTTCAAGCCCTCATTCTAAATATGAGAAACTGAAAAAGGTGGTGGTAACTTATCCAAGTTCACACAGCATGTCAATGTCCAGGTCACACAGCAAGAGCTAATATAAACTCACAGACTTCCTTCAAAAAGTTTAGAAATGAAAATATGAGAAATTCTGACCTGAAACACTTTGCACATTTGAGATCAAGTGAAAACACACAAAAACAAACATAAACATCTTCAGGTCTGACTTTCTGAGGGGTCCCTTTCTATTCATTCGAAACCATTTGAAATGTAGACATTCTTTATTTACAGGTGAAATAGATTCCCAAATACCATACATGGAATTGTCATTTTGGTTGTTGGCATAGAGAAGAATAGAGCTTTAAAAATAATTAAAAATTTAATTCTTAATAATTATAAATTTAAATTATAAAAATCAGACTAATTCTTAGTAAGAATTTATTCTTAAAAACTTCATGAAAATATGGAGTTTATTTTAAAAGAAAACATAATTTCCACGTTGCAGAAAAAAAGCAGTATCATCCATACTTTCTATCTTGATAGAGTAGAACATTTTTAAATCATAATGCTCAGGAAACAGTGTGGTTGTTTTAACCCCTGGTACTAAAAATCATCTTCAGAGGTACTACTTCATTTCTTCTGATGTAGGAACTGATAATGAGCCTGACTTAGTGTTTCTTTGATTATTGAGACTCTTGCATTGTCTAGGATCATTTTTCTGAACCTGAACTCTCATTATACAGTACTATGGATACAGTAGATTATAACCTACAATATTAAAACAAAACAAAACTCTAAAATCTAAATCCCTGATATAAGCTTATGTTATTATTTGAAGAGATATATTCTTTGTTGTTCTGGTTATTCAAGGTGTAATTTTGAAATCACTGACCCCTTTTCTGTTTCTTCATAAAGACTGATTTAAGGGATCATAAGATGTTTTCATGGTTTCAAAGTTAGTTCCTGAAAACATTTGAATAATACTAGGGGGTATTGTAATATATGTTTTCAATTACATCTTTACAATATTAACAAAAATTATTCTTTGGGGAAAAACCCTTGTAGTTTAAATACTAATTAATTCTAGAACTATATAAAATAAAATAAAACATAAAGATCAAGACATGAGAACCAGTAATATTTACACATTTTAATATGATTTGTGTTAATATTCAATAAGTTGTTCATGAATTGATTATTTTAAAACACATTTTTCCATTCATATGCTGGATAATTCTCAATTTTCTGCTGCTTGCTTTCAGTTGGCTTCAGTGTTCTAAATTTCCCCATGTTTCATGGGAATTTAAAAGTTTGGATCTTCAATTTTGGCTTCAAAACCAAATTGCATATCTTTATTCAAAATGAGCATATTAGTTAGTTTGTTCAAAAACTTCAACACATACTGCTCTGGGGTGTCATCTGAGAGCTTGTTAGAATAATAAGAATTCTTCCAAGGTAAAACATCATTTTGAACATTCTCTTGGTAACAAGCACTAATTTTGGAGTACAAATATTAATTTTAAAAGTTTTACTACAAACTATTGCCAGTCGCAATCTTATTTTAAAAGTTAGACTTACAAAATTTAATTTGATTCTAAAATTTAAAGGGCTTTATTTTTATTTTTTATTTTTTTGTCAAATATGAATGAATATAAGACAAAATTTAGCAACTGATAAATATAACAACTTAAGGGTTACAGTTATTTAATTGTTGGTCTTAGGTGCCGTCAGACCAGTTCTGACTCACAGCAATCCTATGTACAACATGTACAACAGAAAGAAACACTACTCGGTCCTATGCCATCCTCACAATAGCTGCTATGTTTTAGCCGATTGTTGTAGCCACTGTGTCAATCTATCTTGTTGAGGGTCTTCCTCATTTTCTCTGATCCTCTACTTAATCAAGCATTTTGTCCTTCTCCAGGGACTGGTCTCTCCTAATAATATGTCCAAAGGACATGTTGTACAATCTTGCCGTCCTCACTTCTAAGGAGCATTCTGGCTGTATTTCTTCCAAGACAGATTGATTCATTCTTCTGGCAGTCCATGGTGTATATACAATGTTCTTTGCCAACACCATCATTCAAATGTATCAACTGTTCTTCGGTCTTCCTTGTTCATTGTCCAGCTTTCATATGCATATAAGGCAATTGAAAACAATGGCTTGGATCAGGCGCACCTTGGTCTTCAAAATGACATCTTTGCTTTTTAACAATATAAAGAGGTCTTTTGCAGCAGATTTGCTCAATGCAATACATCGTTTGATTTCTTGATAGCTGCTTTCATGGGCATTGATTCTGGATCCAAGTGAAATGAAATCCAGTTATTCAATAGTATAACCGAAAGTGGGAATTGATTTATGTTTAAAGTAAGTTCTATAATTAAAGGAAGACTAATGTTTTCAGATCTTAACAGAGGATGGCTTTACACCTGGGACCCTGGTGAAGTACTTCTCTCTGAACTTCCATATTGTAGAGCTGGATAGTGATTACAGCTTTTATTATGCCTTGCAAAAGTGAAATCATGACATAAATTTTTGAGATCTCTCTTCTTGATTCCCCAAGAGTGGCAACGATTTACAGTTTTAGACAATGAATCTTAATAAAGAATATTTTGTTCATCCAATAGGAAGTTTATTACACATTTCACATGGATAGAATTAATTGATAAAGCTTACTGTTTTCCTTCCCAAATTATGTAAATGATGACAATCAAAATTCTCCTTCTGTAGCTAAACAAGGGACTAAAATTTTTCTCCTAAGACTCCTGGTTTCAATGTTTTGATGCCTGTGGTAAAAGAGGGAGATAAGAGATTCCACTCCTCTGTGTTGGGTGGGAGAGGGCATTTATTCAGAGTGACTGTGCAAAAGCTGTTAGCCAGTTCAACTATGGAAAGTCCTGAAATCTTAAAGTCCCAATTTTGGTTTTAGTCTGACTGATCATTCAGTTATCTCCACATTTGCTAAACTGTAGGGAGAGGGAGAAGTAGTTAAGACGTCAGCGTCTTCTTTTCTCTTGATTATAATTTCATATACTTAAACTTTAAATATGAATTGCTTTCCCTTTTTACACAAGTTATAAAAATAAGAGGCCCTGTTTACACAGTTTGCATTTTTATGAAATTTGCAGTTTGAAAAAAAAGCTTTTTAAAAAGTGGTAATGCTTTTTTTCGAATATGCTGTAACCTTAGATTTTTTTTTTCTGAAATAGCTTCTGAATTTAAACTCACTAAACATTTGAAGATAGAATTTTTATTTAGCACTAGAGTAAGACACACTAAGACTGAATAAAAGTTAAGTTTTTTTTTTCTGGTTCCACTTAATTTTCTTTGCATGTGGCACCCCCTTTATGACAGCTATCAATCTTATATTTAGATTTTATATATTGACAAAATGCAATCTACCTCTGTAAGCATTGTGCCATTCAACAGTACTACTATTAAATTTACATACCACAGTTTAAATTACATCCATTTCAGGAATGGTAGAATGCTAAAACTCAAGTGTCTAACTGTCTTACTGGAATGAGTACAATTTACAAATACAATAATTACATTGTAAAACCATTAACAATATTACACCTAGCAGTAAATACTGTACGACTGGTCATCATGGTATTGTGTGAGGGAAGTCATTGCTGAAAGTCTTTGACATTTCCAGCAGATCTATCCCAAGTGCAGATTTTGGTTTGTTTTCATCAAACTGAAATGAAAACCTGGTTCTCATACAACAGTCCTCCATTATATGAATCTTCCAAAATGCTTGCATATGATTTTATTAGTTATCTGCCAAGTATTTGCCTGCAAAACAAAATGGAGTATTAACAGGTTACCTGCCAGTTCAACGATGCAATTATTATATAAATAACATATCTATTCTTTCTTTCTTATTCCTGGGAACCAAATACGGCCTATTTGACCAGTGAAACTCTCATATAAAATACATGATGTTTTATAAGTTTTTAATTTTCCAGGTCAGCTAGTTGCCTTTTCACATGCCCATATTTGAATAATTTGCAGCGGTTTGGGTTCTGACTAGAATAAGTTGGTAGAATTGTTTCTGAATGCGAGAATCCAACTTGTTACAGTAAGGGTGATCATATAATTTATTTTCCAACCTGCATTATTTCTGAGAGTAAAAGTAGTAGTACTAATACGTACATCAGTACAAGGTGTAAAATCTAGGAATTATCCTAGGAAATCACCCACAAGTACAGTCACCTAGCCCTGGAGAATGTGTAGGGATTTGGATTTGTTCTTGTTTTACTTCCAGAAAGGAATCACCGGATGTGGACTCTGAATGACCTCAATTTTTTTCTTTTTTTCTTTTCTGTCAGGGGTTGGTTCTAAAACCACACCTAATTTCTTAGAGCTGGTGGTTCTCACAGAGTGGACCCGAAACATTAGCATTAGTTGGGAACTTTTTAGAAATTCACTGGTCCCACCCCAGAATAGCTGAGTCAGAAGCTGTGAAGGTAATAAGCGTCCAGGTAACTCTGACACATCTTACATTTTTCAGAAACTCTGCCTTGGAGGCTCCAATGAGTAAAAGCAGGTTGGGAAGGAACTGTGAAAGGACAGGAACTGTGAAAGGAGGCACAGCAAGCCTGGCTCTGGCGGATGAATGGCTACTAGGCTCTGGCTTATTTTCAGGAAGACAAAAGCATTTGTTGCCAGATGTTGATTTTTTAAAAATGCTGGAAATCTAGATTTTTTTTTCTTGTTAAATCACCTACTTTAAAAATATTGGTTTGAGTTACTCTCTCTCCTTTTCCTTAACAAACCCTAATAAAACGAGTGTCAGATCTATTCAGCTCATGGGCCAACAATCTATCTCTGGTTGAAACACCATAAGGTTGCTATGAAAGTGAAAATTAGATCCTCTCAGTTCTCATTGAAGCCTGACAAGGCTAAAGTCTATAAACTCCTGTTGAAAAACAGAATAGTTTCAGGTGGGAGATAAATTCAGAGGTCAATAGCATTCCTCTTCTTTGACAATATGAAGAAAGTAGGATTTACTCAATTAACCTCAGTATGTTGTTGTTGTGTGCCGTCGAGTCAGTTCTGACTCATGTAACAGAGTAGAACTGCTCCCACAGGGTTTCCTAGGCTATAATCTTTACGGGAGAACACTATCAGGTCTTTTCTCCCATGATACTGCTTGTGGGCCAACTTTTGGTTTACTAGCCAAATGTTAAACCACAGTGCCAACAGGGCTTCTTTTTACCTTAGTATGTACACATCAAAAGAAGGTGGAAGGAATACACAGAGTCACTGTACCAAAAAGAACTGGTCAATGTTCATTCATTTCAGGAGGTGACATATAATCAAGAACCAATGGTACTGAAGGAAGAAGTCAAAGCTGCATGAAGGAACTGATGAAGAACAAGGCTCCAGGAATTGATGGAATACCCATTGAGATGTTTCAACAAATGGATGTTGCCCCACTAGAGGCACTCACTTGGTTATGCCAAGAGATTTGGAAGACAACTTCCTGGCCAACTGACTGGAAGAGATCCATATTTGTACCCATTCCAAAGAAAGGTGATCCCACAGAATGCAGAAGTTATCAAACAATATCATTAATATCACACACAAGTAAAATCTTACTGAAGATAATTCAAGAACAGTCGCAGCAGTATATTGACAGAGAATTTCTGGAGGTGTAGGCTGGAGTCAGAAAAGGATGTGGAGCAAGGGATATTATTGCTGATGTCAGATGGATCTTGGCTCAAAGCAAAGAATACCAGAAAGATGTTTACTTATGTTTTATTGACTATGCAAAAGCATTTGATTCTATGGATCATATCAAATTGGAGATAACATTGAGAAAATGGGAATTCCAGAACACTTAATTGTACTCATGAGGAACCTGTATATAGACCAGGAGGCTGTCATTCGAACAGAACAAGGGGACACTGCATGGTTTAAAATCAAGAAGGGAGTGTGTCAGGGTTGTATCCTTTCACCATACTTATTCAATCTATATGCTGAGCAAATAACCCGAGAAGCTGGACTATATGAAGAAGAATGTGGCATCAGGATTGGAGGAAGGCTCATTAACAACCTGCAACATGGTGATGACACAACTTTGCTTGCTGAATGTGAGGATGACTTGAAGTGCTTACTGATGAAGACTGAAGAATACAGTCTGCAGTATGGATTACATCTCAATATAAAGAAAACAAAAATCCTCACAACTGGACCTATAAGCAGCATCACGATAAGTGGAGAAAAGATTGAAATTGTCAAGAGTTCACCTTGGTTGGTTCTACAATCGACACCAATGGAAGCAGCAGTCAGGACATCAGACGACACATAGCACTGGGCAAGTCAGCTGCAAGGGACCTCTTTCAAGTGCTGAGGAGTAGAGATGTCTCCTTGAAGACTAAGGTGCACCTGACACAAGCCATGGTATTTTCAGTCACCTCATATGCATGTGAGAGCTGGACAATGAATAAAGAAGACTGAAGAATTGATGCTTTTGAGTTGTGGTGCTGGCGAAGAATGCTGAAAGTACCATGGGCTGCTAAAAGAACTAACACATATGTTCTGGAGGAAGTGCAGCCGGAATGTTCCTTGGAAGCGAGAATGGCCAGACTTTATCTCACCTACTTTGGTCATGTAGTCAGAAGGGACCATTCCCTGGAGAAGGATGTCATGCTTGGTAAGGTGGAGGGTCGACAAGGGAGGGGAAGGCCCTCAACAAAATGGATTGACACAGTGGCTGTGGCTATGGAGTCAAGTATAGCAAAGATCATGGAGCTGGTGAGGGACAGGGCCGTGTTTTGTTCCGCTGTGCATAGGGTTGCTATGAGTCGGAGGTGACGTGACGGCACATAACAACACTAACAACATACACACCTATAAAATGGGAATAACTTATCAGCCTCACATAAAAAAAAAAAAAAAAAAAAAGAGCCAGACTAAGTAGCAAGAGCCCTCCTAATATCTGATTTTCAGTTAATTATCCTACTTTTACCTTATTCAACAATTGGTTTCTTTTTAATTGGGATGGAAGATGAGGGTTGGGATTGGGGAAGGGGGGGAGGTGAGAAAGTCACAACTTATTTATTCTTACAGAAGATAACATAATTTTTGCAAATGAAACCCAGAAGACAACCTTATTCACTTACCTGCAGCAAACCTTTTCTTGATGAGTGAAAATCGATACCCTGCTCCAACAAGTTCAATGTCACAGCCAGAAAGGGTGCTTCCTTCACTTGTGAATTGCACAACCAATGGGGAAGGTTTGCTTGGACCATCAGATAACTGAAACCTTGCCAATAAAGAACCCACTCCTTAAAAAAAAAGAAAGAAAGAAAGAAAGAATATTATTTTAACAGTTAACATAACATTCTAACACATTCTGGAATTGATCTTAGAAATTGTATTCCAAAATAGTGAAGTTTTACTGACAAAAATGGTGATGAGTAAAATTTATCATCATATCATGAGCAACTTTTTCTTTCTTTTTTTTGCATGCTGTGCCAAGTTTAATTCAGCAAAATGGTACTTCAAAATTTGTGGGCATGCTTCTTGGAAGGCCATTTGAACAAATTATTAATATCAGGGGAAAGTAAAAGTATAAGATCTGATATAGGATGACTACCTCTTTAGAGGCCCTTCCCTATCCAAAGGATGGTCTATTTGATGTGGAGTCCTGATAATGGGGAGAATAGGAGAATATGAAGAGGGGATGGCTTGGGTTTAAAGAGTTCATTGAAGAATTATTCACTTTTATTGTTTGGAATAAGTAAATACAAAAATGAAGTGAAATATGCTGCTTGTGTCTAGTGCTAAGTGTATTTTGGTTAATAGTTGGCTAATACCTAAAGGTTATTTTAGCTTTACATACTATATAAAAATAGGTCTGTGATAATATTACCTCCATTTTCTGACTTCTGAGAGATATCAGGAATCTTCCACAATATTCTTTGCTGTTCAGCATTCCTAAAAATAAAACATGTAAATGACTTCGACATATACAACAGTTTGTGTTTGATGAATACCATATATTGCCTGAATAATGTCAATTATTAAAAATAAATTTTAAAGGTTTTACTATAATTTTAAAAATTATATGTTATAGATAGATAGATAAATTCTCTCCCTTACCTTTCCTTATTATAACTAGCCACAACACTGACAGATGAACATTTAGAGGATGTTGAAGAATTTAAAAAGTTTGGAACATGTCTATCTACTCAAACAGTAGATGGAAAGTGTTAGTAAATTAATTCAAATAATTTAAATTGAAATTGTGTCATATGTCTGACATTTATTTGTTAAAAATATTCTACTGTTTACCTCTGGCAATCATATATGAAAACTAGAGTGATCTCTCTGGGAGAACAAATTCTTTTTAACAGAGGCTACTGGCACTCTGTATCTATTCAGTATCTACTGCCATATCTTCTTTAGTGTGCCCTTTTATAGTCCAGAGGCTAGAAAACATTATAATACTATATTTCCCTGACTCCCTCTCAGTTAGAGCACCAGATGCAAATTAGGCTTCACCAACTACTTGAACTGCTTGAGATCTGGAAGATGGAAGGGAAATAGAGGCTATTGTCCTAAGTCTTTCTTGGCTGTCCTCTGCTGACCAGCAACCTAACTGAGAAGTATTCCAGTCCAGTCTGCAGTTTTGTGGGTGCTGACAAGCAGTTAAGGAGGTAACAGCAGGTGCTTTCTGATCCTTGGTTCATAGTTATGATGGCTGGTTCTTGAATTCAATGGTTCCACTGGCAGCCTTCTAATTTTTCTCCCTCTCAGTTGTAGCAGAGGTAGCAAGCAGCTCTCTTGGTGAGCTAGTTTTGCAGTGTTCTGTAAACATTCTCGTAGATCTTGCCTAAAGCTTGTTCCTCTGGCATTTCTACCATTCCGTAAGCCTCTAAATAATTTTCTGCTTAAAATAACTGCAGTGGTTTCTGTCTCCTGTCCTGAACCCTGATATCTAGGCCTGCTGTGATTTCCTCCTGTAGGAAACTCAAAAGTGAAGACGATTTTGATCTTTTTACACAGAAGAAGCCCTTTGGTGAAGAGAAGGGGGACTGATGACTCCTTACCAGACTGCAGGTGGGAGCACAGCCTGCAGCTTGGTTACTCCTCCATCTATGGGGACCAGAAACTGAACGTTGTTGAGGGCCACAGCGGTTGTCATTGCATCTGTATTGTATTTGTAATCTATGCGCAGGTCTGTGCTTGCAGGCTCACAGCGCCAATTCACTGCCAGGTTCAGAGGCGTGGACTGAATGCCCTGGGCAGACACCTTGCCAAAGGACACGAAAGAGAATATATAAGCATGGGCCATTACTCAGAAATAAAAACAAAAGCTATCTGCATAGGAATGATCTTAGATATCAAAATTTCATAGTGTCAATGCGGCTTACAAATGAACTTTCAATGAAAATCATTGGGAAGAGACATGTGAGAGAGCTGGGGCTTAAAGAAAAACTGCTATGGGTTAAAGACATAAAATTTAGTACTAAAATCTCTATGGTACTTTATAGTTTACAATGTAATTTACATCTGTTAGGGAGGTGGAATGGCACATTGGTTCATTGGTTAGGAGCTGAAGCTGTGGAGCTAGAGGTTTGAGTCCTGTTTTGTCATTTTATAAGTGCTCTTGGACAAGTCACAAAACCTTGCTGAACCGCAGTTATTTCCTCATCTGCCAAATGTGAATCATCATGATATGGTTACCATAGAGTTGTCAGGAAATTTGAAGGAGCTATTTTATGCAAAACACTCAGAACAGTGCCTAGACATAGTAAGTAATTAATGTTTTAATAAATGTTACCTAGTTTGCTATATGAGTTGAAATCAACTCAGTGGCAAAAGGTTTGGTTTTTGGTTTCAGATATTCTCAGAAGTCCCTGAGTGGTGTTAATGGGTAAACACTGGGCAGTTAATTTAAAGGTTGGTGACTCAAACCCACCCAAACGTGCCTCAGAAGAAAGGTCTGGCAATCTGCTTCAGAGTCATAGCCATGAAAACCCTACGGAGCACAGTTCTCCTCTGAAACATGTGGTGTTGCCATGAGTAGGAATTGACTTGATGGCAACTGGAAAACTAATATGTTATTATGTTTGCTCGTCACAACAAACCAGAGAGTTAGACAAAGGTGGTTATTACTACTACTTTGGAATTTGCCAAAGTAAGGACTTGAACCCAGGCTCCCTGGCTGGAAGTACTACATTCTACATCAACAAAAACTGATCTCATCTAAAGATCATAGTATCAGTTTGAATTCTGAGTGTCACAGTGAAAACTCAACATGTTATGATCTCTCAACTGTTAATTGTGAGGATAAATAGATCTCTAGGAGATTCTCCTTTCACAAGTCCATGCACACTGCAGGGGTCTCACGTGGGTGGTATTCATGCCCTTGGATTTTTACTCACGGGGTGTGAGTTTTGCTGATTTTGAAGAATATAAATAACTATCTATTGGTCTAGAAATGCCCGCACATATGGACACCATGGTAAGGGTCCTGAAGGCAGGCAGGTTGAATTCACAAGGTGGGAGGGGTTGCTATAGAAACAAGCCCAGAAATGGGCTCTTTTGTGAAAAGATGAAAATGGGTTTTGATGACAATTTTAATTAGATAACCATTACAGTAGTTTTCAAACTTTAAATATTTTTAGCAGCACCATCTTTTCTGAAAATGAACTTTTATTTAGAAATTCATTATCTAAAATAGAACAAAAGCAGTGCAGAACCCTCCTTTTTCTTCAGTCTATCTTTAGCAAAAAAAAAAAAAAAAAACCCACCTAAACTCACTGCTTTCAAGTCAGTTCCTACTCATAGCAACCCCCATTAAGTTTCCAAGGCTGTAAATCTTTACAGAGACCAGCTGGTGGGTTTGAACCACCGACCTTTGGTTAGCAGCCAAATACTTTAACCACTATACCATCAGAGCTCCTTCTATCCTCAAGCAGTAGTTTTTAAATTGATAGTAAT